TAACACGAGCAGGGTACAGGGAGCATACTACTCCTCTGTTGCGCCAGCTCCACTGGCTGCCAATTAGCTTCCGAGCACAATTCAAAGTGCTGGTGTTAACCTATAAAGCCCTAAACGACTCCGGCCCAGTTTACCTGTCCGAACGTATTCTCCCCATAAACCATCTAGGTTGTTAAGATTGTCTGGAGGGGCCCTGCTCTCAGTCCCACCGGCCTCTCAGGCGCGTCTGGTGGGGGATGAGGGACAGGGCCTTCTCAGTGGTGGCCCCTCGACTCTGGAACTCTCTCCCACTGGAGATCAGAACTGCCCCCTCCATTCTGTTGTTCAGAAAACGGGTGAAAATCTGGCTATGGGGTTTGGCATTCGACGAGTGAATCAATATTTCTGTGATCGGATAGATGACGATGAATGATGGACAACGAATTCACGATGATGACTGGCCATTGTTATTATGTGATTGCATTTTTCTGTTATAGCGTTTTAATTTAATATGTTATATGATGTTTTTAATGATTGTTTTCTGATTTTATTGTTGGAAACCGGCCCGAGTCCCCCGATAGAGGGGAGAAGACCGGTATACAAAATTGCTAAATAAATAAATAAATAAATAGATATTATTTTTATATCGTCTGGGCGGACAGCACACAAATCAGATAATTCGTATTATCTGCTTTGAACTGGGTTATATGAGTCTTCACAAGGCATGGGCAAACTTTGGCCCTCCTTGTGTTTTGGACCTCAACTCTCACAACTCCTAACAGCCGGAATTGTGAGAGTTGATGTCCAAAACATCTGGAGGCCTTAAGTTTGTCAATTCCCGGTCTACACTGTCTAATAACCCAGTTCAAAGCAGATAATCTGGATTTTATATGGCAATGTAGAAGGGGACTAAGACAAAGATATGATCAGGACTGCCCCTATCAAATCAGGATGGTTGGAGTATGTGTGTTTGTGTGAGTGTGATCCTTGGTGACAAAGTACATACTCTTTCATTTATGGGCCTGATTTCTGTTTATTGCATGTCCTTAAGAACTGTGACCATGACAGCCTACTAAAAATGAAGTGGATAGCTTCCGAAATCTACCTATAGGATTACTATACACATGTTCTATACATTTTCTGGAAACTAGCTCTTAAGAACCACCCAACAAGCTGAAATTCATTCCCTTTCTTTCTTTATTTTGGAGATAATTCCCTTAATCCCTTCAAAAATTATATTTCATTTCAGTAGTATTATTTATGAGCACCTTGCATTATAATGATCAGTAGTGTGTGATTCCCCCGTCTCCAGTTTGTTGGGAGATTAGTCTCTCTTTCTCTTTAAAGATATATTACATTTAGGTTAGTTGGAAGGCACTTTATAGCTTTATAAAATCCTTAAAATGTTTTTTAAACACTACTTGAAGCTTATAGGGCTAGTTTTAGAATTGCAATTACAAGCTTCCTTATCCCCAAGCAAATTCCCACTGTGATGGTGTATGTAAACTGTTTTAGACATTTTAATGCTCCTGAGCAATAAATCTGAAAAAGGAGAAAGCAAATACACTACCTCGGTTTGTGAAAACGAAAAACGTTGTTTCCTAATTTATACAGTATATAAAAACTCTGTCAAGTTGTTTGGTCTCTTTTTGTGGTGAAGTTTATACGTATATATTTTTAATTGTTTCAAGCTGTTATTTTCCCCTCTCGTTTGGATGTTGATGTTTCCTGCAAAACTTGTTAGAAGGGAAGATTTCTTTTCCTTTCTTACCTCTTTCTTCTGGATGTTATTGCACTTCACTGCAATCACTCTGGCCATTAACAGAGCTGGCTCAGGCTGATGGGATTTATAGTCCAACACAACCCAGAGGACCACATTTTTCAACCCGGATCTACATTGTCATACAATCCAGTTTCTGATTCCAGATTATCTGCTTTGAACTGGATTATATGAGTCTGCCGTGCTATATAATCCAATTCAAAGCAGATTTATTTTTATTTATTTATCGTTTCAGAACCAAACCAAGGGTACAGTTGTAATAGAATCATAGAATCAAAGAGTTGGAAGAGACCTCATGGGCCATCCAGTCCAACCCCCTGCCAAGAAGCAGGAATATTGCATTCAAATCACCCCTGACAGATGGCCATCCAGCCTCTGTTTAAAGCTTCCAAAGAAGGAGCCTCCACCACACTCCGGGGCAGAGAGTTCCACTGCTGAACGGCTCTCACAGTCAGGAAGTTCTTCCTCATGTTCAGATGGAATCTCCTCTCTTGTAGTTTGAAGCCATTGTTCCGCGTCCTAGTCTCCAGGGAAGCAGAAAACAAGCTTGCTCCCTCCTCCCTGTGGCTTCCTCTCACATATTTATACATGGCTATCATATCTCTCTCAGCCTTCTCTTCTTCAGGCTAAACATGCCCAGCTCCTTAAGCCGCTCCTCATAGGGCTTGTTCTCCAGACCCTTGATCATTTTAGTCGCCCTCCTCTGGACACATTCCAGCTTGTCAATATCTCTCTTGAATTGTGGTGCCCAGAATTGGACACAATATTCCAGGTGTGGTCTAACCAAAGCAGAATAGAGGGGTAGAATTACTTCCCTGGATCTAGACACTATGCTCCTATTGATGCAGGCCAAAATCCCATTGGCTTTTTTTGCCGCCACATCACATTGTTGGCTCATGTTTAACTTGTTGTCCACGAGGACTCCAAGATCTTTTTCACACGTACTGCTCTCGAGCCAGGCGTCCCCCATTCTGTATCTTTGCATTTCGTTTTTTCTGCCAAAGTGGAGTATCTTGCATTTGTCACTATTGAACTTCATTTTGTTAGTTTTGGCCCTTTTAAAAACACACAAAGTTTCAAAAGTTGACATTATATTAAATGTCCTTTGACCAATAGCTGGCCACTTGTGTTGCTAGAAGGAGGTCTGTTCCATCTTCCAGGAGCCTGATTTGCCTTACTTTACAGGTGCTCCCTCTTGCATTTTCTCCCAGGGCTGCTGCAGCTTTGCAAGAGCCCTAAAGGTAACAGTATCAGAGTCTGCAAAGCCAGTCTGCAGGCCTCCTTTGCAACTATTGGTTCAGAAAAGTATCTTTTTGGGTCTAAGGACCGCCTTTTCTCCCAGGGAAGAGATCTCCATTTTGGAATCTCCCCTGCCTTTTCAGTTTAGAAGAAAGACTTCAGACGTGCTGATGGTTAGGCAGGTAGCTCTGGGAAAACCATTGCAAAAACTAAATTGAGTAAGTTATATTAAGCTATAGATAGTATATTATACATTATATATTGTGTATTGAGCTGTATTGAGATATTATAGATAAGCTTAATTGAGAAGATTCAGTTATATAGTTATAGAGAGAGAGTCTTCACTGCTTTGTCTCTAGAACTAACCTTAAGTTATAGTTAGGGGAAAAACTTGCTTTTTTTCTAACCACAACAGCTTAGGGTTAGGATGTAAAGATTCCAGGATCTTATCTGCCATCTGGAGAAAGAGTTACCTCTGTAACTGAAGAAAAGAAAGAATATCTCTGTAGTTTCGTCTATTGACTGTTTGTTTGCAACTTTGATGAACTGTGCCAAGTCTTCAAGGACTTTGTATAAATAAATATCCTTTTTTGATGATTAAAACCAGTAATAGTCTCAGTTGCTCAGTATCTCAAGCTTCTCAAGAAAGACACCTGCAGTTCACTCAGAAATAGAGAGAAGCACGTCGCAGTTTTATTTTTTATAGCGTCTGGGCGGATGGCACAAGGTCCTCCATTGTGCATGTAGCAGGGCTCAGTATTGTGCTCCAAAACTCTGTCTGTCTGAATTCGGAAGTCCCAGAGTAGCTTGACATGTTCATTTCCTGTAACTTTTTCCAGCTTGTGATGCCACCAGTTCTTTGTCGCAGGCAGATGGTATTTGTGGCACAAGTTCCAATGAATCATCTGAGCAATGGTGTTATGCCTCTGCTTGTAGTCTGTCTGTGCGATCTTCTTGCAGCAGCTGAGGATGTGATCTATTGTTTCATCTGCTTCCTTGCAGAGTCTACACTTGGGATCTGTTATCGACTTTTCAATTCTGGCTCTGATGGCATTTGTTCTAATAGCTTGTTCATGGGCTGCCAGAATTATATTATTATTATTATTATTATTATTATTATTATTATTCAGAAACAGGATCATACAGCAGTGCAGATGGGGCCTAAACTCACATCTCTATTTGAAGCCACCTCATTTTATGAAGGTCGCTCTAATCCAGTGGTTCCCAACCTGTGGTCCATGGGCCACCAATGGTCTGCAAGAGCAAAAATATGGTCTGCAGCCTCACCATTACTACACCGTTGCCTCAAAACCAACCAGCAACGAGAGTGACTGGTCTCACAAAACCCTCTTATAGTGCCGAGGCAATGGGGACGTCGGAAGGGGACAGGCTGATTATCCTGGAAAGATTACAACTACTATATCAACTCTAGATGATTAAATGTGGTTTTTCTGTGAGTGAGCAGATAGCAACTACTGGATGGCATATGTTCTGTATCAGAAACTAGAGCTGATGTGGTATATCCAATACAATTTTCTGAATCAACACCCCAAATAACCAAACCAAATCTTAATTTGACCAAAAACTGGTTCGTAACCTCTTTGATACTAATGTTGGAGAATGGTTGCTGGTCAAGTCGTCCCTGGTCAAAGTGGTCCCTGGTCAAGTGGTCCCTGGTCAAAAAAAGTTTGGGAACCACTGTGGTCTAATCCAATTTAGTTCAAAGATATTGATACACCAAAAGGGAGGGAAGGAATCAACTTGGAGTTACCTGTGTACAATATGATATTCAGCAGGCACAAAGCTCATCTGGTCAACCCTATGATGAGATGTGCTATGTTCTAAATTTGCACTTCGATGTGTCGATTACAGTATGCAAATTATATGTAAATTAGGGTGCCTTTTCATGCTTTCTTGGTATCTATGTGTGAGAAAGGAAAGGCAACAGCACGTTGAAAGTCATGCTCTAACCTAATTTTTATTTTTCTTTTTTTTTTTGCAGCATTGCAAAACATGGATGCTATTGCTTCCAGGACTAGTCGGAAAAAAGAAGCATAAAGCATTGTCATTGGTAAGTTAATTCTTCATTTAATCTTCAATTATCTTGTCAAAATAACATTTACATTTCAAATTGGTTCGGTTGGAGTTCTCCATGATCTGGTCAAGTCCTTATCTGAAGAGATTCACTTTAAAGAAGAGCAAAGCATCGCCATGCCCTTCAACCTCTCCTTCCATCACCTTTGGTGTGTAGGAGGTGACAGGCTGAAGCAGAGAGTCTCTGGCCTCTTCTACACTGCCATATAAAACAGCTTTTGATCCCAGATTATCTACTTCGAACTGGATTATATGGCAGTGTAGATTCAACCTGACGTTGACCTTTCCTTCAAGCTCAATAAACATTTCATTGAGTAGAACTAAACAGAGCTAACGTTGGCCCTGAAATGATAGGAGACCTTTGAAGAAATGCTTTTATGGACCTTACTTCCCAAAATCCCACTGCACTTCTGTAATTCAGGGACTTGTTGTCTAAGTGCAAGATCCTTGTGTGGCTTCCAAAGGCATGACTATGTTTGTGGATACTTACTTTACTAGGCGATCCCTCATTGTCCGAGTAGGATTGTCTTCAAAGATCGGTGTACTGGCGGTGGGTACATAGGTGACTGTGGAGCCCTATTCTTGATCTGTAGTGAGGGCATTGTTTCCCAGGTGGAAGGTGGTCCCAGTTGGGGTTGGCTTGACATGCCTTCCTCTTGGCACGTTTCTCTCTTTCATCTTCAATTTGTGCTTCTTCAAATTCTACAGCACTGCTGGTCACAGCTGACCTCCAGCTGGGGCGTTCAAGGGCCAGGGCTTCCCAGTTCTCAGTCTCTATGCTAGAGTTTTTAAGGTTGGCTTTAAGCCCATCTTTAAATCTCTTTTCCTGTCCACCAACATTCCATTTTCCATTCTTGAATTCAGAGTAGAGCAACTGCTTTGGGAGACGGTGGTCAGGCATCCGGACAACGTGGCCGGTCCAGCGGAGTTGATGGCAGAGGATCATCGCTTCAATGCTGGTGGTCTTTACTTCTTCCAGCACACTGACATTTGTCCGCTTGTCTTCCCAAGAGATTTGCAGGATTTTTTGGAGGCAACACTGATGGAATTGTTCCAGGTGTTGCATGTGATGTCTGTAGACTGTCCACATCTCGCAGGCGCAATACAGAGTTGAGAGGACAATAGCTTTATAAACAAGCACCTTAATATTGTTATGGATGTCCCGGTCCTCAAACACTCTCTGCTTCATTTGGAAAAATGCTGCACTCGCAGAGCTCAGGTGGTGTTGTATTTCAGTGTCAATGTTGACTTTTGTGGAGAGGTGGCTGCCAAGGTAGCAGAAATGGTCAACATTTTCTAATGTTACACCATTAAGCCGTATTTTTGGCATTTGAGAGGGATTGGCTGCTGACTGCTGGAAGAGCACTTTGGTTTTCTCGATTTTCAATGACAGGCTGAGCTTCTCGTATGCTTCTGCGAAGGTGTTTAGATGCAAAAAGGAATGGTGCCAGTGGAAGGAGCAAAGCCAGCCGTAATGGCAGTGATGAAAGGATGTAAAAGCAGTGTTGGTGATAGCAGTAAGGGTGAGAAGAAAAGTCAGACAGTTACCTGCTTCTCAAATGTGTGGCTTAAAGGGAATGATGATGCATGGAACGGAGGCCACATGGGAAGAGTGGCTTGGGCAACTACTTGGCTTTTGGCTTTTCTGCAAAAGTTAAACCACTAGTGGACCTGCTTTGGGCGAAAACAAATATTTTTTTTGCAGTATTTTGAACAACCTAATGTAATTTTGGTGTTTGTGTATTTGGGCAAGGGAGGACACAAAAGTATCATTTTCTCTCTAAAACCCAGCATATATTTCTGCACAGAATATTTTTTCTGGATCTTTCCAGGACATTTGGTGGACTACTCCTTTTTTCTTTTTTTTTGGTGGCATAATAACGTATCCCTATTCATTCAGTTATTTCTGCCTCTGGTGCCAGATGTTCTATTAAAGATGTAATGTCTAGGAACACATCTACTTAATTAACGAAGGTTAATTGCATTCTCAATTTGTCTTTAATGTGCTTTAATGATTAATTCTTGAGAATCTTGTACTTTGGGGGGTGAAGATGTAGCCCCAAGGATCACAAAAGCTTCCCTTAAGGCTGGCAGAAGTTGCAGTCCCGCAACATCTGTGGGGCCACACACTGCTTCCCATGGATTTGGATGCAAGGCACTGTGGCAAATAAGTCATCTCCATGAGGCTAATGGAAGCAGAGAAAAGCAATGTAAATTAGGTATTGTAGGACTATATTTACTCAAATACAATGCTCACCTTTTTGTGGCTAAATTCCTAAAATGTGGGTGCACATTAGATTGGTGCAATATGGTAATCTTAGATCTGAGCCAAAGCAAAATAGGAAGCAACTTCAGGATCTGGAGCTCCTGGCTGAGGAATGCCATCTCTAAGTAAATGGCCAAAGGTGAATGCTATGCAATCCTGGACTATGTAGTTTTTATTTTATTTTAATAACTAGCCGTCCCCTGCCACGTGTTGCTGTAGCCCAGTCTGGGGATCTGGAAAATAAAGTAATGTAAATGTGTGGGTTTCTAATATATATAATTTCTTTCTGCTTGTGGGTAAACAGTATTTCTTGTTGTTTCTTTATCAGTGTTGATGTGGAGATTGTCTGGTTTGCCTACTCTGGAACATGCAACATATAATGGTCCTTCTTTAGGGGTCCCTTTCAAATCTATGATACTATATCTGTGTGTGTGTGAATCATATCTATCTATCTATATCTATGGCTGGATGGCTCTTTGTCAGGCGGGCTTTGATTACATTTTCTTGCCCTGGTGAAGAGAGTTGGACTGGATGGTCTTAAGTATTTTCTGTTGGTTATGGGATTCTGTGTGGGAAATTTGCCCCAATTCTGTCGTTTGCGGGGTTCAGAATGCTCTTTGATTGTAGTTGAACTATAAATCCCAGTAACTACAAATCCCAAATGTCAAGGTCTATTTCCCCCAAACTCCATTTGTGTTCATATTTGGGCATATGGAATATTTGTGCCAAGTTTGGTCCAGATCCATCATTGTTTGAGTCCACAGTGCTCTATGGATATAGGTGAACTACAACTCTCAAACTCAAGGTCAATGCCCACCAAACCCTTCTAGTGTTTTCTGTTGGTTATGGCAGTCCTGTATGCCACCTTTGGTTCAATTCCATAATTGGTGGAGTTCAGAATGCTCTTTGATTGTAGGTTTAAAAACTTCCAAAGAAGGAGCCTCTACCACATTCTGGGGCAGAGAGTTCCACTGCTGAACGGCTCTCACAGAAAGTTCTTCCTAATGTTCAGATGGAATCTCCTTTCTTGTAGTTTGAAGTACCTCAGGCCTTCCTCTGGTGAAAAAGTTATACATTTGAACAAATTCAGATATTTTTGAGTCAGTGGTATGAAATTATACACTTGAAAGTTTGTTCTCCACAGGAGATACAGATTTTTTAGCTCAGTGGTATATGATTAAACCTACATAGAGCAGAGTATCATATACCACTGAGCTAAAAAATCTGTATCTCCTGTGGAGAACAAACTTTCAAGTGTATAATTTTATACCACTGACTCAAAAATATCTGAATTTGTTCAAGTGTATAACTGTTCCACCAGAGGAAGGCCTGAGGTAGGCCGAAACCGGTCGTGGACGGCTGATCCACAAGCTACTTATAAGAAGATACGACTGTACTAAAATTTTGCACCATATTGTTTGTTGTCGCTGTGAGGATAACAGTGCAGCATGTGGAAGAGGTCTAATGAAAGTAAAAGACTGGGACTTGAAAATGGTAAATATGGAAAGGATAAAAGAGGAACTAAGAGACTTAGATTGGTACAAGTATTTACAACTGGGTAAATGGTCAAGTGATATAAGGAAAAAGTATAATAGAGGTAGGGAATACACAAAAATAGAAAAGATAACTCAAAGGGAGACTAAAGAAGAGAATATAACATTAAAAGGTACAGTAAGTGATATCTATCAACTGTTATTAAAGAATGAACAGGAACAAGATTATTTGAAGGAAGTATGGGAAACAGACTTGGGAGAAAAAGTGAATAATCAGGAATGGGTAAAGATATGGAGTATGAGATTACTAAAAAAATATGTCTATAAGAATCAAGGAAAATTACTATAAAACGATATGGAGGTGGTATCTAACTCCCATTAGATTAAATCAGATTGATAAAAAATACTCAAATCAGTGTTGGAGAGGTTGTCAGGAAATAGGGACGTACCTTCATATGTGGTGGTCATGTAAAATTATACAAAATTTTTGGGAAAGCATATTCAAAGAAATAAGAGCAATAATAAAAATAGAGATTAAGACTACACCAAAATTAGCTTTATTACTTATACATGACAATACAATTCCATCACAAGAGGAGAAAGAATTGGTTTCTAATTTGATAATAGCAGCTAAATTGCTAATAGCAAAATACTGGAAAGAAAAAAAAAGAAATTCAATTAGAAGAATGGTATAGGGAAATTTGGAATATAGCTATTAATGATAAGCTAACCTGCAATATTAAAATTAAAAGGGGAATATGGAAACAAACAGATTTCTGGAAAATATGGGGAAAATTTATTGAGTATATTTTTAATGAGGGAAAGGGGTACAAGCCAGCAACAGAAACAATGACATTTTGGAATTGTGAAATAACATGAGTAGGTTGGTCCTGGTGAAGGGGGCACAAACTAAGGGTAAAGGGAAGAGGGGGGAAATGGTATAATACTAATTATAAAGAAATAAAGCATGTATAAATAGATAAAAGGTGTGTGGTAGAGATATACATAGCATAAGTTGTAACGGAATGATAAGAAATATGCTTAAAGATGTATTTGATTATTTTTACTGTTAGATTGTATATAATATGACAAATTCTTCTATCTAAGATGTTGTAAAAAGAGGGAAGAATGTATGGTTATACATGTTGTTTGATAAATGTATAATAAAAAATTGGAAAAAAAACAAAACAAAAAAACAGTGCAGCATGTTTATATACT